TTTTTTTTTACAAAACTCCATTAAATATATAGGTCTATTTACCACCCATCCGCATGTTAGCCAGATCACTTGCAGTTCTATGCTCTACTGTTGTTCTATACTATTGTAGCCACATGGCATCCATGATGTCTGTTGTGTTGGTGTAAATTGTGCATTATTATTTAGAGAAATTGCATTATGACTGTTATTCATAGGCAAAGTTTCTGCTTGGTTTAGATGAATTACATAATTTCTTGTATGCAATTTTGGTCTCATGGTTTTCCTTGTGACACTATTTTTTATCTTTTGATGTGAGAAAAAAAAAATCTTCCTCCCTACCATGAAAATAAGCTTTGAAGCAGAATTCTTGTCCTCATGTTATCTAAAACTTCATAACGGAGGGTCGTACCACCTTATTTTTTTCTGGAAAATGTTCTCAAAAGACTATTCTACACCACTATATGATTGAAAAAAAAATTGAAAAATGTTTTTGACCTCTGAGATCAAGATGGAAAAAAGAAAACCATATCTAAGTAGTGTATTAAAATAGGCCTAAGCATTACAGTGCAGTAGCATATACTTTCGTATTACTGTTCCAGGTATCAAAGTACAAGTATCAATAAGTGTAGTATAAATCATGTTTTTAACACAGGAAACTCTCATATGGTAAATACTGTAAAGCAATGTTAGTCTAGAGTACTACTAGTACTACTGCACTGTGGAAAAGGCGTGTATTACATTACCTGTGTTGTATTGCAGATTAAATATTTTTTAAGTTTTCATGAATTCATGTTCCATCTTTTTTTAACAGATTGAAAAGGTTATGCAAAAAAACAATGAAGAGCCACACCACAATGGGTGCATTACCACACATCCTTGGTTTGAACCAGCCATCTTAAATCCTGTAACACTACAAATGGCATATTGGCAGTATGTTTCACAATACCAGGAGCCTGTGACCGAAGGGGGAGTCGAAAGGTAAAGAATACATAGATGAATTATTTTTGTACTTCTCTACTCAAACATATAAGTATTTCCCTGTTTGCATTCTGCAGGTATTATTCTCCCGAAGACGACTGAAGCAACTCAATCAAAA